GAAAGAAAAATATTAATATTCAAATCAAATATACTGATTCATTTCAATAATAATTTAATTTAGTTAATTTACAACTAGTAAATTAAATCCCAATGTCATAGTTTTTAGACAACTTGAATTAATTTGTATTTCACAGTAGGAACAGCGTTTCGCATGTAGAAAAATATATTGGTAGAGCATTCAATCAAAATGGACAAGACCATGGAGAACAGGAAAGTCCATGGGAATGGAAAATCGCCTAATTAACAAAACAATAAAATGGTATCGGTTAGAATTAATGTGTGTTAATTTTGCATTGTAATAAATTGATTATTTTGTGTTACAGGAAAATGCAATGATGATACTCGCCTGGTTAGCAACGATCCTGTTTTACATAGTTTTCGGAATATTTTACTTTTATTTACGTTGGATATTCATGCTCAAAATTTATTTCTATTTTTCGAACTTCGGATATTTTATTGGCATAATGAGTCTTCTACTTCTGTTACGTAAGTATTCAGTATTAGGATATTACCTTAAAACAAGAACGAATTAGGGAAAAAAAGTTATAACTCTTGTTGTTTTGAATAGACAACTTGGCTTCAGTTGTAGATCAGGTGCTTCAGATTCTTATTTCAACAAATGTCATCTGATTGCATGACACAGTACGTATTCCTGAATTTGAAAACCAATTGAGAATGTTTTTTAACTGATTTTTTGCTTCACAATGACAGTACACCGTTCACTTGCGAAGCTCTTCAGTTGATTGGGCGAGTAATTTCATTAGTAATTTCAGCAAAGTGTGAAGGGGGTACACCTTAAATTCTTGGCTATCCAGGATACATTAAGGTACACCTTAAATTGTTGGCTAATATGAATATTCTTGGATACGCTGAAACCAAAACTTGAATTTTTTACATCACATTAAGGTGTTTTTTATTGTCATCTTCCTCCCCGAGAGTAATTTTGTTAGCTGAAACCTCCAACCCAGGTTATTAACATAATAATTTTGGAAACAATCATTAGAGGGCGAAGACAAGTGTTTAGAAAATAAAACGGTAGGTGATACAGGTACATGGAAGAAATATTCTATCCTTATCTATTATCAGAGGGATACTAAACAAACAAACAAACAAACAAAAAATGAAATGGGAGTCAGTTTCTTAGATTAGAAGATTGTAGTTGATAACAAGCTGCGGATTACACAGGTCAACAAACATATTTGAAAAACTGCATGCAAGTTTCAACTGATATGAATATTCTTGGATATGCTGAAACCAAAAATGTCTTTTTATATCACGTTAAGATGGTGGTGCTTTTTTTGCATTGGAAATGTGAACTCAGTTATGAGGAGCAAACATATTAATAATTAAGACTCCAAAAATTAATGTGTTTGAGCATTTAAGCTGAAACAAGCCACTTCTAGCATTTTTTCTACCACACTTGGTTTCGAGATATTTTTTTATTTTCCTTTAGGCATTGTCTTGTCCGCTTTCATTTGTGTCTTACTTTCCACGCTTTTCATCCAGCTGTAATCCCCAAACACACACTAGTGACGAGTCATCGCGAAAAAAACAACAACACAAAACATCGATGCTGAAAATGAAAACATCGTTGTTAATAAAGCATCGACCCAAAACCATCGATGGCATTAAAAATCAATGTTTTTAAAATTGGATAAATAATATTTTACGAACACTTGTGTGTGTGTATGGGGGGGTGTTAATTTCAAAGAGATCTCGGTTATTAATTTTGAATTGAGGTTTAACTGATAAAACAGTCAAACAATCATGAGGACAATTAATAAAACTAGAATTATCTGATTCCATAATTCAAAACTTATATAGGCTTTTTAATTAACGAAAAATTGATTTCATTTATTTTTCACCCTGGTTCACTTTGGTCCCAAGAATATTCAAAATTATAGATACCTGAAATTATTATAGAATTTTGTTTCAGTGAATTTTTTTTCACTTAAGTAATATCAACCTCGTAAAAACATAGAACACAAAACACCAATATTTTATGGCGCTGTTTCGTTTCAGGTATTTAGGAGGCCAAACTTTGGGAGGAGAATGTTTTCTCCCTTCAGATTTTTGTCCTTAGACGTGCCATATTGTTGTTTTTTTCCGCAGCTTTGATGCTATGGATAATATCTGGGTTGAATAATATAATTCGAAAAGCTAGGATACTTTAGGATGCAGGTGTTGTAACGCAAAGATGTACGGCCTAACCAAATAGTGTTAGGTTATGATTTTATTTGTGAAATAATTACCAATTAAATAAAAAATACAATAATTTTCCAGCTTACAGGTAAATACCACGAACTGATATGCAAAAAAACTTGTACGTGATGGAGAAAACCAAGATAACATTTAGTTCCAGCACATCCATTTACATCAAAATTAATCAATAAATCCTATGCAGAGTTTGCACGCAGACTTGTGAGACTTAAGAGACTCGTGTTCTAATAATCCTTTCTGATCTGACTGATCTCATTGTCGTTATGACATTGTGTAATAAAAGAAAATAAAACGTTCGTTTAGAGCCCATTTTTGAAAGCAAAGCTGTTCTTTCAGGGAATGAGCAACACGCTAAAAGTTACATTTTCAGCACTAGTGCTAAATGAAAGACGATGCTCACGTGATCAAATAAATCCACGAACGCAACAAAGGAAACAAAATACTTTCGTCTGACCGGGTCAACAAATACACGCGCATGTTTTCTTGAGTCCCGGAATACCTACCCCCACTCCTTTGCCAACATTAGTTGAATTAAGAATAAATGATGGTAGCGAGCGTTGTAGACAAAATGTGATAACAAGAAATGTTCGCTCCCGAGTAATAGAAAGTATTTTGCATCGAAAAACGAACTACAAATTTGATACAAATTCCTTTCATCAAAATACCCAAACTCCCCATTCCTCTCGCAACTAGCGAAGCAAGGGTCCAAGAAAACAGGCACGGATAAAACTACTAATATAAATGTAACGTTAAATGATCAGTATTCTTGAAAAAAAATAAAATGGAATACGGTAAGACAGTCTAAAATAATAGTGTGGTAAAAAAAAAAATTTGCTCGTAGGAATGTGTCACTCGACCTAACGGCCTCGTCACAAAACATTTCGAACTCGCGAAATAAAATGACATTTTTACCACCCGCATCATAAATAACCATTAATGTCGATAGTAACCACAATACCAATTTTAATCCTTATTCTTTGTGACTTTACAGTGATGATGGCTTTCAAATATTACATGATATTTACATACTTCTGGGCGCTTTGCCCTCGTAATACAGCCCCGGCAGACATCGACGACGTGCATCTCGTGATAGCAAGACGCGAAGACAAACCAAAAAAGAAAAGAAAATAGTTTTTATGTGCCTAAAGAAATAAACTTTTTTATTTATAAAATGATGTTTCCACTTATTAAAAAAAGTCGGATAGTTCTACGAAAATACGGAATTAATCGGACTTCCGATTAAAGAATTTTTTTTTCTGGATGTATTCTTCATTAATTGTATTTATTATATGTTGAATATATCATAAATATGTGTAAGTATTTTGCACACATTTTGGAGAAAAAACAAAAAATGGCGTTTTCGTAAAAGCTATATCTCATTTGGTAATTGATTATACGAGAAAAAAGTTGCACTCTTTAAAATTGATTTGAATAATTTTCTATAGGACTTAAGGTTAATATGTTATACACAAAAACAAGAAAAGGATCAGAAAAATATATTTTGGGGGCATCCAGGAGTTAGCACAGGGTAAGGAGGTCGACAATACGGGATTTTAACTAGTGCCAGGGTACATGCAACATACCCAAAGAAAAAGTTTACAAGACCTTTTTTCAGTTAACTCCCACTTTTCAGTACTTGACAACTAAACTAATGCATGATTTTACACAAGGAAATCACCACATCTATGCTTTACCCGCGATTCGAACGGACAGTCTTAAGACGGCTCTACACATTCGGTATTCATCAAGTCGCGAGCGTTCTTCTGATGTACCTTAAAGACCGATACGCGGTGTCTAGTACAGGCACGAAATATTCGTCGCTCGGTAAATAGTAAGCAACCCATTGACACTACTCGAGATTCAGCGAGCGGTCGCTTGCTACTCGCTGAATACCGAATGTGTGGAGCCCTTTGATGTCAATGAACTTGGTCGCAACTGCTACTCGTCGAATACCGAGTGTGTGGAGCCACTTTCATGACTGTACGTGGTCGAACCTACTCCTAGTCGAATGCCGAATGTGTGGAGCCGCTTTGATGTCAATGTACTTGGTCGAACCTGTTACTGTTCGAACACCGAATGTGTGGAGCCGCTTTGATGTCAATGTAGTTGGTCGAACCTGCTACTGGTCGAATACCGAATGTGTGGAGCCGTCTTGATGTCAATGTACTTGGTCGCAACTACCCCAAGTTTCTTTTCATAGATGCACGAAAGGACTGCCGGGCAGGCACAGAGCAGACGAACGGAAGTTAAAAAAGAAATTTAAAAAAATACAAAAAACAACTTTTCTTTGGTATTAGGGGGCCCCAAAACGAATGTTTCTATTCAAATCTCGAAATTGATTTTCCGCAGCTTCACACAACTTTCTCTACACCAATACGTACGTTTACTAGAAAGTAATCGAACGAAAGGAACAGGAGAAAAGAAAGGCTTGGAACTCAGCACGCTCTTGGCGAGCGGTACCCGTCGAGCGCCAAAAAAGAAAACCCTCGAGCGGCCAGCCCGTGGAAGCAGGAAAGTGGCGTGTGCCGACGTCACACGCGGTGGCTGCACGAGGTCGCCTACACTCCCATTTAAACAAATTGGCACCTCACTATCACGACGTGGAACGAGAGAGAGAGTGGGGACACTGTCATCCAACCGTGAGCTGCGTTCGAACTTTTTTTGTGGTACCGGAGCACTCGGTTGGACGACGATTCGCTCTCGGCCCCCCCTCTCCTCCCAACAGTTCACCTTGAAGTGCGCCCCTCTTCCCCACTCTGTTTAAACCGGAGTGTAGGCGAGGTCGGCCGCCGCGGCGCCCTAGGAGGCGGGAGGGGGCAGAGTGCAGCGGGAAGCGCCGGCGGGGAAGCACACGCAGACGCGACAGCTCAGCTGGAGGGGGCAGCCGCGCGCGTCGGAAAACAACCGAACGACGCCGCGACAGACAGTAAACATTCGGCGAAACGCGCTGGAGACGGGCCTCCTCGCCTCAGCAAGGTGAGATGCACCATTTTCACGCACGCTCGTTTGTTTGTTTGTTATGTGGTGATTCAGTTTTGAAAGCAAAGGGAGATGTAATGACTTGAGCCATTTGCCGTTTGTTGTGTGGTGGTTCATTATTGCGTTGTTTCCGGCGCGTCAACGTCTACGGTGTCGTAAGTGTAGTGCATGTTTGCTTTTAGCGCGGGAGGTGGCGGTGTTCTTTCCCCACTGGATGGCGAGATCCGACGCCGACCAACACGTCGTTTTGGAGTGTTTTGTTTCACGTAACCAGGTATCTTCCAGCAGTGGGGCATCGCCTCAGATGTTCCCGTCTGGCCTCCCAACATGTGTGGTAGTGATGTTAGTTGATGCCCTGAGCCACCTAAGCCGGTTTGTTTGTTGTGTGGTTGACTTAATGTTTATTTCGTGAATCCGGCCGCGACAACCACTGCGGTCAAGGGATTCGCAAGTGTAGTGCATGTTTTTTATCACAGGAGGTGGTGGTGACACGCTTCCCCGCCGGACACTGAGATACGGAGCTGACCTACACTCCGACTTTTAGGTTTTCCCCAACCAGGTATCTATCACCAGTGGGGTACCGCCTCTATGGATGGCGAAAAACCATCGATAGTATATTAACCTTGATATTTCGTTTTCGATGTACTCTTCAGATCGGCATATTTTTACCAGAAACATGGATGCTTTCAAAAAAACTTTTTCTCATGTGAACATTTCCAGTATCTGTTTGTTTTTTGTTGTTTTTTTCTGAGCGAATTGCTAAATGTGAACAGCCACTGACATCTGTCACAGCTGTCGATTCCCAGACAGCACGAAATCGTTTAAAACTCGCAAAGTTTCTCTAGTGTAGCTAGGATAGAGAATTATATTTTTTTTACAAAAATCTACCGCGTCTTGCGACGGCGGACAAACAAAAGAGCGACGCCCCACCCCGTGACGCGCCAGACAGTAAACACTGAGCCGGACGGGTCTCCTCGCCTCCGCAGCAGTGAGATGAAGTGACGTGGGCTATTTTCACGCCCACCAGTTTGTTTGTTGTGTGGTGGCCGGTTTATTATATCGTGCTTGCGGATGCGTCGACTGCTACGGCCATTAGCTTCGCAAGTGTAGTGCAGGTTTTGTTATCACGGGAGATGGCGGTGTTCTTCCTTAGTCGAATGGTGCGATCCGGGACCTACCAGCACGCCGGCTTGCGTAGTTTTCCTCATCCAGGTATCTGCCGCCGGCGGGACACCGCCCCAGCTAGGGATGCGACATTGATGTTGTTTTCAAAACATTGATGTTTTCATAAAAAAACATGTGAGTTTTAAACATCCGCAGATTAAAGTCGATGTTTATTGAACATCAATTATTTGAGATCGATGTTTTTACGTTTTCGACGTATCCAAAATATGTGTGTGAGAGAAAAATTTGCTCAATCGCTATTTTGTAAAAGTTAAAATACGAAATAACGACTGATGGTACCACTGGCACTTTATGTTCGAACGAAGCCAACACTGTTCATGTAGAGAAGACTTCACCGAGAAGATTATCTCTCACTTACGAGATGCCCCTGATGCCCTAGTATGTTAGAGCCCTTTCCTCGAATTTCGCCCGCGGGAGATAGTCATCGCACGTGCAGTTTGAACCTCCTATTTCTTTCCTCGTCCTTCTCCAGTGAACTGAGGAATAACTAATCCATTAGATAAGCTTCAACTATCAGGCTTTCAAGATCAGTTTTGTTAATTGTTATTATGTTTTTGTTTTTGTCAGATAAATCTTAATCATGAATTAGAAAACACGACCGCTGTCAAATTCAATTCCCCCTCTCGCGCACATGTTAAAGGTCACTAAATCACTTTGAAAATCATCTATGTGTTAAAAATTTTAAAAAAAGGTCTTCTGCCATGGCTTCGTTTCGAAATTCTACTAAACCAATTACATTTCTCTTTCCTTTGAATGAAGAATATAATACTTAGGTGTGTTATCAGATACTGTTCGTATTGATTCACCAGCAAATTCACCAAGTGTAAATTAATTAAATAAATCATTGTTTAATAGTATGCTTATCGGTAGTCCATTGTTTTCTTCCACAGGCTGTCTGTTTCAATTATCGATAGATATGAGTATATCAACCTTGCTGATTGATGCCGTATATAGTTTACAATTCGTGAAGGATGTGTTTCACGTTTAATACTTGCGTTTCGGTACCGACTGTGTTGCATGTATTTGTTTTCATAGGCGTGCAACGAAAATTCTATTACACTATTACTACGCCATTTCTTTTTGTGTGTTTTGCACTATCGGAGGGGAACATTTTTTAAAATAGGAGTAATTTTCGAGAAAAATGTAGTTTTATGAAAATTTTCCTCCGAAATCAAAATACCAGTTTCAAATTCAATAGGCCGCGATATTAGTCAGATAACGTGCTAAAGAAAGTATATATATATATATATATATATATATATATATATATATATATATATATGAACAAGATTTAAATAATACTTTTTTGTAAATACTTGTTCGAGCAGGGCCCGGCATTAAAAGTTTCACCGTGTTTTCTCGCAGCATTTCAATACTTTGTACGGACCAAACAATAGGCGAGAAAGTAATAAATGTTTTCGGAAATGTTAACAAATACTCTTACATACCTAGCAAAAAAAAGCTATAACATAAAAAGTTATAAATCTATAACACCGACCCTTTAATATTTAATCATCATAACACTCAAATGGGTGATCTATTCAGTTGTTAGCTCCCCGTCCAATATAAAATAATTCCCTAACCATGAGTTTATCTCGAGTGAATAGGAGCTTCTTCGCAAAACCGTTGTCCTGCATCCCACTTACGGCAACCGGATTCATTGAGGCGATGAGAAAAAAAAAAAAAAAAAAAAGAGATTGACGGACGAAACTGGATCAAACAGTAGAGAGAAAAGCAAAGAGGAAATGAGAGTACCCAGCGAAAGCCGCCATTGGCCTCATTCTGCAGCACAGCACATTCTGTCGTAGAGTGGATTCGAACTCGGGTACACAGAGCAAAAAAGGGGAAAGTAGCCATTTTCTCTATCCAATCAGTAATTAACTATTAATGTCAGCCGGAAGTTCACGACGCCACCATCTACGAGACCCAGGTAGCAGTGGTTAAGCGTGCAATCTGACTTCAAATGAGCAGTACAGGAGTAAGTTAAAATTCAATTTGTTAAAAAAATGTCAACAAAACTCACTTGTGTCATTTCCTATCATCTTTATAACTGATGCTCCTATAGAGCGCTTTAGTATACTATTTCTTCTGAATTTTGGAATCAGGTTGTTTTTAGATTTACCTTCACATCCCATGGGTTGTCTCGTCACAGTAATATACTTGTATACAATGTAACTAAACACTGATTGAAACATTACTTCTCAACTGAAAGATTTCTCTGTGATTGGTCAAACATCTGAATTACAAAAAGTATTCGTGACTTTAATCATTGTTTTTTGATTAATTTTCTACAAAGCATACATTTCAAATTTGCTCCTTCCTCGTATATAGGCTGGTTCGAAAACGCCAGAAATTACAAAGTGTGTTTTCACAACGCTATTATATCGCGCAAGAAAATATTCTCCGCAATATGCGCTGCAGAAATTTCATGGCTAGTTCTTAAAAAACGCTCAATTCTTTTTGTAATCAATGCACAACAATGAATTCGAGAGATTTGCGTAAATTTAATATTCGTAATTGTTAACCTGAAGAAATGTATGTCGGATTTATTGCAATTTATGTAGAATTCTTTGTAATTTATGCAGAATTCTCGAAATATATTTGCAGTACATTACAGAGAAAGATGTGAAGGGGTCGATAAAGCAAAGAATTTTTTGCACCAGTGCAACTACGTTTGCAACAATGCTTCAGGGGTTGGTACAATAGAAACATTAGGAATCCCTGCATTACTGCATGTTCCAGGTTAACTGTGATTGTGTGAAACCAGTGGGCAACAGTATATGCAACAGAATATCCGTTATGATTCTCATAGCATAGTTTTTGTAAGTCTATCTCATATCAACTGCAAAGGAAGTGCTTTGTTATTTTCTCGTTGGGTTTTTGATGATTGTATAACAACCCTACAAAAGCCGATGTCCACTAAAGTGTTTGCTGTGAATATGTGGTAAAAAATTCGCCGCTTTCCGGCCCAGAATTACAATTCTTTCTCTTCTTACGAAGTAAAAGGGAGAGTAAATATTTGGTCGTATCACTAAGGCAGAGCAGAGAGACTCTAAGGGTAATAAAACAGGATCCCCTTTTGAGTAATTAAGTGCATTTGTGGGGAATCAATGGCACTTACCTTCTCGAATTATTTCTAATTGTTGCGAAAATTCAGTGTCCAATTCAACGGAAATGAAGCCTGCGCCATTTGTAAGTCAATCTTTATTATATTCCAGGGCGGAATTAAAGGAAAATTTGAGCTCTTATTTTTTTTTTTTTAAACTGCCAATTTTTCACGTCATAATTATGCGAAAACTATATTTCCGAAAAATGTACATAGGCTTATTTCAAGATCTGCCTTTTAAAGAGTAGATATTCAATATTGTAGTTGTAGGAAGACGCCGAAAGAATTTTGACCCCTTGCAATTTTTGAAAATTCAGAGATTTCTACGAACGTTAGCCCTGTGCCATTTTTGAGCCTCTTATACGCTGTCCGACAAAAAAATTGATTAAACAAATGTTTAGCCATTTCTGAGGAAATTTTTAAAATGTTGAGGCTTTATGTAAAGTGTCTACAGAAATCAATATATCCGTTTGAAACTCGCGGGACTTTCAGTTCGTTTAGATCAATTGGGGAGTATTATTTAAGGAGAAGATCCATTGCACGGGTCAGGCGCGAGGGTGGACCACATACCAGACGTTTCACCGTCAACTGATTTTTCGGTATTAGAGGTCCACAAAACATGGATTCGGATTACACAACGTGTTAGAGGAAGTAATTTACTGCACACAGGAATAGTATTTTCGCCATAACATTACAATACTTTATTTTTACCACGTTAGAACGTAGCGAAAAGAGAAAGTAAAACCAAAATTTTATTTTTATTTGTATGTTCTTAACTTCATAAAACAGACAAGCTGACTTAGAAATTGAATAGACTAGACTCAACAATAAAATAAAATAAAATTAAAACAGTGTATAGGAAAAATGAATTTTGGTCAATTACTTTCTGGTATAAAAGTTATCTAACAAACAGTGTCTGACACACATGGCTTTCATTTTGTTCGTAGGATAGCGCCATTCGCCCTCGTGACAAAACCTTTCCTACACGCCAAATAAACTGCCACTTTTACCACTCGTATCATAAATAATAAGTATAAGTTCTCACGCTAGCTTTATTATTCTGCAGCAAGATGGCGACGGGACAGCTGCCTGCCGCACACAGGGCCAGCTAGATCCCGGCCCTACACGCTCCGCGGGCGACCGAGAACATGCGGCGAGAAATGAAGGTAAGATGTAAGATCACGGAAGGACAATAAGATGATGTAGGTCACAGAAATGACAAACGCTGTGAAATAATTGTTTCAGACGAGGCCAGTGGTTGGAGTACTGATACTAGCGGTTCTGCTAACAGCACCAACCCTAGTGACGTCCACCAGACGCTATGGCTCCAATGAAGAGCCCCCTGCAACAGATATTGTGCCCGAGGTAAACTTCGAAGGCGGCTTCGCTTCAGATGACGCAACATCAGCTGGTAAGGCTTTTCGTGATATCTTGTATGATCATGTTCATAAACTTTAATGACCGACACTCCAAATACATTCTACACTGAAATTCAATACGTGAAAACAATATCCTGTTTTTGTGTATGGAGGCATTAAAAATGTTCGCCCTCCATAGGAGTAGGGGATCACACGAAAACGACGAAATCTAACGAGTAGGAGAAGCAGATTGACAAATCTGAACATTCCCACATCTTAGATTTTTTATTATTAGCTTTTGTTTACCAATGGAACATTTAAACAAAATATAAAACCTATGTAAGTTTTCTTCTATTTAATATCAAACTGTACATTATTAACACAAAATTCAGCCGTAGTCTGCAGAAGAATTCTAGCGGCCGGCTGCTCTGATCGGTAGTTTTCCGTGGTTTCTCCGATCAACGCCAGGCAAATGCCGGGACAGCATCCTAACAAACGGGCCACGGACCGCGCGCGATCTCTCCTTCCTCTTTGGTGTCATATCCTCACCCCTCGCATACATACCCATTCTTGCACTATACAACAAAAAACGTCGAAATTAGATATTTCTAATAGATAGCTTCTTCTAGATATGCCTTAGTGCACTTATTGAGCAGGCACCAAACCATTTTCACATATTTTCCGAATTTTATTAGTTATTAATTCTTTTTTACATGTCGTCGGTTTCACCTAAGGTATAGTCTCATTCTCATTTCAAACATGTCATAAACTTCAAAAAAAGTGTCTGTTACCGTCAATTTTTGTATCACGTTTGATTTATCTAGAAAAAACTTTTACGAACCCTTATAAATATTTCTCAAACATTATGAATCAACAATGGAAGCTCCATGGGGTGGAGGTTATTCTTTTTATGAAATACTTTGTATTCAATATGAATGATTTATATTTATGTTATTGAAAATAATTTAGAAAAGATATTATTACATAATAACAATTACTGATATCCAATATGTTGCTGTACACATTCATGTTTACCACTTCCAATTGTCAATAAAGCTTGGGGTCCAAAAAGACCCCCATATACTTGGGTTTTATTTCTTGCCGCGTGATGCCTTGTCTTCGCGATGGAATATCTCACGGAATTTCGCGGACGGAGAAAGACGCGAATTACCGTGAGACATTCCATCCTGAAGACCAGTCCTCGTTCGCCAAAAAATAAAAACCCAAGTATAGTCTTTGATTTAAAGACGCAGATACGATCAATAAAGTGTATCCTCTTAGAACCAATTTGAGGTATTTGCAAGGAGGGAGTTGAATCCCCAACCTGCCCACCTCATTCCCGCGCGCGTGTGCGTGGTGCGCAGGTGACAGTGCATGGGCGTGGGTCGAGGGCCCGTGGCTGGCGTTGCTGCTGCCGTTTATGCTGGGGCTTGGCCTCTTGCAGGTCACGCTGTTCCACACGGCCGCCTGCTGTGCCGTCGCCAGGCTCAAGGTATAAGACAAGGTAGAGGCCTCTTAAAGTGCGAAGGAGGAGTCCTGTTTATATAGAAACATCGAAGTCGAAAACATAGACATCAATAACATCGATGTTTAAAAAACATCGACTTCAATAACATCGATGTTTAAAAAACATCGACTTCAATAACATCGATGTTCAATAAGCATCGACTTCAATAACATCGATGTTCAAAAAACATCGACTTCAATAACATCGATGTTCAATAAGCATCGAATACAATACATTGATGTTTAAACAACGAGTTCAATACATCGACGATCAAAAAACATAGACTATTACATCGAGGTTTAAAGGAGACCCGGAAGGCCTTATACCTACAATGTTAAATTCAAGGAGCATTTTATTCGTAACTAGAGGATTGATTTTTTACTGTAGTTTTGGCTATATTTTAAATGTTTTATCATAGGATTTTTAAGAAATTAATTTTTCTCTGGTAGATGTAAATTGTTAAAAGTTAACAATGTTATACCCACATTTTTATTAGTATAGTGTATATAGTGTGTTTAAATAATAAGATATAATCAAAAAGGTTACGGTAAAAGTTGTAGTTTGACATGATGAAGAATGCCTTCAAGTTTTAAGTCAGTAGCTCTCATAGTTTAGAAAATAATGTTCATTATATAAGAAAAACAAATTTACGGAAATCAAGTTTCAAAAATTGTCATGTATTCGCATTCCAGATCTATAAGATGGATTTTTAGAATCATTCGACATTTAGTCTTTCAGTTTTTTTTATCACCGATGTCAAAGTGTGTCTGGCTTGCTTCTCCGTTTCAGTCACCTGATTTCCATATTTCTCTCATTGTCAAGTAAAAACAGAGATAATTACACATCGACAACCGTGCACAGCAAGGTCGACGCACAGCATACTATTAATTTTACAAAAGGCTTCGAAACAACGTACTGAATTGAATTGAATTAATGCCTCATTTCACGTGGCAAGACTCAGGCCATGAGGCCTGCTCTTCCGTCTGACCTCGCAAATTTCGCTACGCTCCTTTCACCAACTAGCAGAGAAAGGAGGTATTTCTTGGGCGACGAAACAGGCGATTTGAATTTATTTCAGAGGCTACGTCATTTAGGCTTGACGATCTTTCACATGCAAGTAAATCTACTAACATGGGACAGCCGGCTTTACTTCCCCCACCCCCGAAGGAAGGCGTACGTACGGGTAAAATTAATACATCATTGAAAAGGGGAAGTATAAAAGATTCATAATTCATAAAAAAGTGATAATTGACTTTTTATATTTAAAAATTCACCTGCCGGGTCCCCTCAAACCCTGCAATTTTTTTTTTTTAATGAGAAGTATGCTTTGAAACCAAACATGCAAGTTATTTTTTGTAGTGACATGTATGTTTCGAAACCAAACACGCACGTTTTTATGTTTTTCAAGAGCCATGTATGTGTTTGGAAACCGCTTGGCCCGCTGCGCAGGCGGGGCGGCGCGGGGGCGGGTGGCGCGCGACGGCGGCGGGCGCGCTGGGCGTGGCGTGCGGCGCGCAGCTGCTGCTGCTGGCCGGCCTGGGGCTGACGGCTCTGCGCGTGCACCAGGCCATGCGGCGAGGCGCCTTCGCCTCGGCCAGCGGCTTCGCGGACTTCTTCCCCGGGCACGAAGGTAACGCAGGCTTCTCCCCATTGCATTCGCTTCCATTGAATTGAATTGAATTTGCCTTATTTTACGTGGCGAGACTCGGGCCATCAGGCCAGCTCTTCCGTCTGACCACGCAAATTTCGCTACGCTCCTTTCACCAACTAGGAGAGAAAGGAGGTATTTCTTGGTCGAGAAACAGGCGATTTGAATTTAGCTCAGATGCTACGTCATTTAGGCTTGAGGATCTTTTACATGCAAGTAAATCTACGAACGTGGGACAGCCGGCTTTACTTCCCCTCCGAAGGAAGACGTACGAAGGATTTTTTAAATCCACGGCTTCGATCGGGTTTGAACCCGCCAACTTTGGTACAGCAGTCTAGTACGCTAACCGTTACACCATCGCCGCCGCAGATTCGCGTCGAAAGACCAAGATCGTGGCGACCGATGATAGCCATGAAGGGACGAATAGCCATGCCGAGGCGGGACTCGATCCTTCGGTCCGAGCAACTGCCTTAGGGCCCCTTCCCACGGCGCGGCCGCGGAGCGCTTCGCAGCAGCGCGGCGCGTAGCAGAGCATTGGTCCTCCTCCGCTTCGCGTAGCTGGAGTTCGGCGTCGGCTGCCGCAGCAGCCGTCACCCGCTGCACGTGGGAAGGCCTCCATTCAAACCAATGCTCCGCTACGCGCCGCGCTGCGGTCGCGCCGTGGGAAGGGGCCCTACGCGAAGCGGAGGAGGGGCCACGCGCCAACGCTAGCAGAACACAGCTTTAAATGGTGGTCTTCCCACTGCGCCGCCGGGCGCTGCGTTTTACCTGCTGCGGTCCCTTTGTTCGTTGTCGCCGGAGGGTGGGCGAAACCTACCCCTCCAGACCCCACGGCGGGCGGCGGTGGCTGCGTCGGAGGGCTCTGCTGCTTGAAGGAAGCGCGCCGTGGGAAGGCGCCCTAAGGCAGTTGCTCGGACCGAAAGATCGAGTCCCGCCTCGGGCATGGCTATTCGTCCTTTCACCCCCTGTCATCACCATGCCATGTCATCTTCACAGCCAGCAACCGTTAAATCCAATAGTGGTCGCTAATGATCTAGTTGGTGATGCGACCTTAAAAAAAAGAAGCATTTGTTTTACGTGGCTCAGGCCATCCGAAGATTTCACCGGCTTAGGTGGCTCAGGGCATCTATTGATGTCATGCTGTCACTGCCAGTTGCGGAGCCAGGGGTGCGCCCCCCCCCCCCAACCACCACCAATCGTAAAGTTTGTTTGTTACCTTCTTTTATCTGGCAAAATTGATTTAAATATTTAAGGTGGAATTACGTAACAGACATATGTCCCGTGTCAATTAATCAACACAAACGCAGAGTGCTCATTAAAACAAAACGTCCATAAGCCTCATACTGGAGGAACATTTTTTTCGTAGGAGCACTTTTTCTATTTTTGAAAAATAAATTGCAGTGTGTTTTAGTTATTAATAAAAAAATTGATAGGAATTAAAATAAAGTAAATATTATAAATGTTGTAATTATATTCCAACTAATTTACTTATAACCTCACGTCTTTCTTCCCCATTGTTGTATTATTCAAGTGTAAGAGTATAGGTACCGAATAAAATTAAAACAACCATAAATGGTTCCTCCTTTCCTTCTGTAGTCAGTTCCCTTAATTGTCCACCAATGTCACACTTTCAACTGATTACCAACGTTAATAAATTATAATATGCCTATTTATTACATACGATAACGCAGAAACAAAATTGATTTTCTAATTTATTCAAATTGTCTCATTGTTAAAAAAATGTGTGTAAATTATGAAGATGTTAATGTTTTTCAAATACAAGGAACCAAATTGATTTTAATACAATTGGATTAAAAAGAAGAAAAAAATGGAGTAAGGAATAAGAGAGTACATTTCTAATAAAAAGATAATATAAAGAATAGTGTCAAGAGGATTTGAATATACTTGTTTGAGATCACACCCTTGTTATTAAAATTATAAAAATTATGTTTTTGTTGAAAATGACATTGAGTTCATGGTTATTATGATATCTTGTACCGTTCCATAATCTTTCACAAAAACATTTCATTTTTGCAGTGTGGCAGCCTCTACAGCCCTTTCTTTGGGCCATCCCAGTTCTCATCGTTTGTTACTGGATAATGCTAAGCATCCTGTGTAAAATTGAAGAGAAAAAGAAGAGAAGAAAAGAGGAACGGAAAGAAAAGTTCGTGCATGGAAAAACGGATATCTCAATATTAAAAATTACTAAATTATAGTGGTGAGTAATGTTCGCTCAAGTTACAAGCATCACAGAACATAAGGTACCTATATATCTGCTGCCAAAACTACTTGGGATGGCAGGTCCCTTTTTTAAATACTAATATATTTAAACTAATACAATGGATATATTACTAATCGAAGGGACAGAGTAATGTATTGAATTTCAATACGTATTGAATAAATTTTTGCTTTTTTTTCTGAATGTACCACAAGATGAGAAATTAAATGTTAGATGGTCTACTTCAACAAAAATAATAGAATCATACTTCAAGTTACATTTTTCACATTATTCATGATCTCACAGGAAGAATCTTTTAGAGCGTAAATAAACTAATTTGATATGACAACCACCAAAGCCTAATATGTTTTTAGTAATAAACCCATATTATCCGAAAATGTGCTACAACCATGGCTGCTGTAAATGCTAAGAGTACAGTGCAGAGGAATCTGCTCATCAAGGGATTTCAAGATTTTCAGATTTTGAGGCTACTTAACATTGCCAATTTGCTTTTGAGTGGACATGCAGTCAAATCCAGAAAATGCGCTCTAATAGTCTCACTCTAGGTGAGCGAGGAGAATCATGAGGCACTGAAATTACTTAATTTTCTCATATTCAATTACAATGTTATTGAATGAATTTTATTTAGCCCTATTCCTGAATTAGTTTAGTTTGTTGGAATATTTTACAAATTGTACAACTTCCATAACAACAAACTTAGTTATGTATAAATGAAACCAAACCACTGTTAGCAGTATATAACACAACTGTTACTCTATGCTCATTTTCACTACACAGAAGTTCACGCTTACTATTTCTCTATACTCATTTTTACTATACTATTAATTTCAGATACAGTACAAATCCTAATCTTACCTGTACCGTTCGTCTTATTGTGTATATAAAACATGCAATTTCCCAATAAATTTGTATCATCTTACAATATGTAGTATTACTATACGCTTCAACACATCAATTTCATCCATCAGCCCATTACTAACAAACCACAAAGTATTGGCTCCTCCTGCTACCTGGTGATAAAAGTCCAAAAATGTTGAATTTAAAAACCAATTTTTTCAGGTATACTGCAATATTTATACATACCCACTGTCTCAACCAGATTTTTGTAAGGGAAGCTAAAGTTGTAGGGACCAGCCAACTTTATGACTTCTTGTAAGTTATTTTTAAGTGATGCTGAATATGTAATTTATTTTTACTTTTTGATTTATAGTTAATTACCATATTATTACATAATGCAGAAAATTAGTTAAAAGTTTTTCAGAATTTGTTTCTTCAGCTTTGGTATAGACATGGATTAGTCATCCCAAAGTCTCTTATAAATTTTATTTTAGTTACCTTCCGTTATCATTACATGGAACAGCAATGACTCATTAACAATGAGGGAATGGAAATATACAGGAAAGAAAATAAAAACGTATAGAAAACTTCTGGTCATAAAAAAAATTCACAAACGTTTGTAAATTTTTCTATTACTAAAAGGAATCAAGGTGCCCACTTCCTTATTTGTTCAGTTTTACCTGTCCTGCAAATTCTTTTTCTGCATTGATTGTTGATTTTAAACTAATTATTCCATTGTCTTGGAATGGAACAGAATTCTATAGTCCTGCTTTATTATTGTTTAGTAACATGTGGTTCACAATCTAAATGTATTTATCACGGCAACATTTCATGCTTCATGAATGAGATAAAAATTGCTTGCACCTATTGGAACTTTATTTCAATCCCATGCTTATTCACACCAAACCCTGAAACTCCCTGTGTAAACAAATGAAAATTTTTTAGAGAATTCATTAAAATACATTGTAAAAGTATTTCATTGCAATTGTACATTATGGTATTTTTAATGTAAATTAATTGTCGATTATTTGATTAATTGTTAATTATTACTATAGTTGAAATGCAACCACTACTCTTTCTTTTAGGTGAAAACAGTGCTATATAATGAAGGTGAAGATGAGAAGAATGAAGTGAAAAAATACCTTCAGAAGACTCATTTCACATGTTGTACTTTTGCAAATACAAATATATACAATAAAACAATCTTTTGCTACCCTAGTTTTAGAATGTTTATTTATCTGCAAGAAATGTATATTGAGTTCAGTTAAATAAATGAAGTTCTTTGGAATGTAGAAAAGAAAATTAAACTTGATTATAAGACAATGAAATCCTCACAGAAAAATTTATATAATAAAAATCTTCTTTAATATACTAAGGGGACATAAGTATTTTATTTCACTTATAAGAAGCCATTGACACAAAACCTCCAAAAATGAGCTTTTGCTCGAGCAGGAATTTCTCTGCAGTTCTGGATCAAACAGATGTAAAAGTAAATGTTGTCAGATTATTATACAGGGAAAAGATATGTGCTCATGCAACCTGCCACACAACATACAATTGTGTATAATATGGAAACAATGTGCCCAAGACTATTATATAAGTTTTTCTTGCTCCTATATGGATGCAAGTTATATTTATTAAGCTAGAATCGACCAAATATTACTGCCTTTCCAATGTTATATATCATTATTGGAAAGTATTTCTACTCTACAGCATGGTTTGGTGAAAATGTTAAAAATTAGCTTTCAGAATGCAGTTATTTTAACATATAAATCAATGTTTTACAAAGAATGTAATGTTTGCAAGGGTCCAATTTGGTACACTTTAAAAGAAACAGAGAAAGATCATAGGAAAATATTTAATATTTTCTCAACAAAGAATTAAAATGTAAATAAATACCTATATCATCCCTTTTTTCATTTCATTGGCTTATTTTATAAATATAATGAAAATGTTTTCACATCACTTATTTTTATTCAGTTTTTTTATAAATAATGTTTTGACAATTTCTTTACATTGTCATCAACAGGTTCTAAAATGCATGACACAATAAATTAAACAATTAGAACATAATAAATAATCATAATCTTTTAACAATTAAAACTTTCTTACTAACCTTAATATAATAAACATTAATAATTTAAAACTACCATATTGCTATATTTAGACGCTGTACCAGTCTCCAATGTCACCACTAAAACTGTGGATAACAATGGCATGAATTTGCCATTATTCAGATGCAGGACATTCTTCTACAAAACTATATAAAAACATGACAATAAATATAGTAAGTAATAATAATTAAGCACTCAATTAAATAAGCTGAAGCTCACCGCAGAAATCAAACATTTTATAAACGGACTGATATTCTGTTTTATTTAATGGTTTCTTTGACCAGTGAGTTATCATAAATTAATCGACTAAATGTGTTAACGATGAAACTGAAGGAAGGAAGATAGGAAAGGATCACCATTAATGACGCATTCAGTCAATGAATTTATAACGACTCACTGGTCAAAGAAACTGTTGAATAAAATAGAATATTAGTCCATATATAAAAAAATTGCTTGATTTCAGAGGTGACTTCATTATGTTTGTAAATTAAGCAAACAAAAATGAAAAAGGAACTCATTTATTTACTTTCTTATTAATACACAAGGTTGGCCAACAATAAAAAGTTAAAAGAGTCATAATACAATATCATTACTGATTCTAGCATTTCAGCACATTTCTTTTTTGAAAAATTTCAATGTTGACTCAAGATAAATAAGTTTACTCTCTGTATGTCTGTTAATTTGTTACATAAGGATGATGATATTTTTGAAGCCCAGACAACATTATTTTTAGAAATTCTGTTTATATGAAAGTTTCTCCACTGACAATATTTGGTCATACTGACTCGGTACAGAGTTTTATAGTACATCCCAAAGAATCAAATTGATCAAATAGCAAGTAGATCATCGACTGTCGTTTGGAATGATTTGTTTTAAACTATTAGATAGGTACTTGAGAATGGTTACATTTCAAGAATGAGAAAGTTATAACACCAGACTTAAAATGGGAATTAAAATTGTGGTTGTATCAATGTAAAACCCACATTGATGATAAAGAGATTAAGGATTATAAAAAGGTTTACACAATAGAATATTAATCTACAAGTGGTGTTGTCATTTATTGTAAATGCTTGGTTAACAATCTATTTCAGGTTTGTCTTATTTAGTACTCTTTTCAGTAATTTCCTTTACATCCACTCTGACTCTGGAAATTTGCAAAAATGTAGACAATTTAAGGAAAATATTGGTATAAAAATGTAATTTTTTTAGTGTTGCTATACAGTAACTAACGATGCTTAAACAGTACTTTTTCACTCATAATTTCACGTAAAATTACATCAAAAACACTCAAACACTCGAAATTGTACATGACTTTCTAACACAATCTATCTTTAAGGAACAGATTTCATTAAGAGAAAAATAAAACAATCTTCATAATAGTATTTGTTTGCGCGGGCAGCAGACTCAATCTTAGTCTAGGTGGTGTTGACTCGATCCATTCCAATTAGCAGAATAAATGAGTACCTAACAGCGTTTCCCTAACATTTTTAGCCTTCGCAATCACGTTCGTGTTTTTGAGGGAACGCCTAACACTTCACAGTAAAACAACAGTAGTTTATACACGATATAAATATTTAAAAATAAAAATTAGAAAAATATTTAAAATATTTTTTTTTTTCGTTTAGTTAACGAAATAAGCTCATTCCATGAATAATTCTATGAAATATCATTGATTGTCACTATTTTAATTGCATGCGTGTAATTAAAACTCCACAACTACCAATCAGAACGCAGTAAAATAATCAAAATCGTTTAATTATGTCTCTGGAACACGGACGTACCCAATGTATTTCCAAGTCGATCATGAAACATGTTCATCACAGAATACGTACGTCAAAACATAGTCAATGAAATAAAACAATATTATAAGCGAATAACTATTACTACTCCTTAGACAATCATGTTAATATTTATAGTACAATAAGTTAAATTAGAAACTTTTTCCCCTTCTCATACTTGGCATCAATTATCCTAACCCAGAAGTGGCTTTATATTGCACAGATATGTTTACTTCAACTATTCGAACAAGACGGCCCAGGGGAGAGAAGTAATTTTGGCAAAACTCCTTTAACTGTTTACAAAATCATTTGTAATTATCAATTATCATTTAAAATATCAATATTATCCTTAACAGGCCACGTCTTCTTCAATATAAACAAGTACTATGGCCATAAAATGTTGGTTTGACACTAGCTGATTAACTGAACAACAAAATATTTAACACGAAAGACATGTGTTACATGTAAAACATTTAGTCTTACACGTAACATTTGCCTCCCTACGTGCTCTTACGTTTCGTGCGAATTAATGTTTTTATGGCTTTGACAGCTTCTTTTTATATTCCATCCGGAATATGTTAAATATCCATTTTCAAACGTTTCTTATTTCAAACTTTATTCTCTAAGTCACTATGGTGATCATAAATATACATCCAAACGCAATTATTCTCTTCGCTACTAAATCAATAATACATCATATAATAAGGTCATAAATATACACTGCAAGGCCTACTGAAATAGATCTGGTTCAGAACCAATATGACGTCATCAAATAGATGCCTCAAATGGTATGATATACTTGAATTTATCAAAATTAAAATTGTTCTTAAATGGAGTATAATTGCACTCGTAATAAATAAAAGAAAATCGGGTCCTATGGTCTCTCGTTTTCCTGAACTTACCACTCATGCAATTTTACCCCTCTTTATCCACTCGTTTCATAATTAATATTAATTATTATGGAATTTAAATTTCGCATTTCATAAATACTGTTTGTTACCATGGAAATTGTCAATAAACAACTATGCGTTTCATAGAGGCCATCAGTAAACCTAAATGAATATCTGACGCTGCTGATGAAGCTATTGGAAATTTAATGCCGAAATATCTAAGAATATGCACGATGCAGCAAATTTAAAGATTGGTGTAAAGATTAAGAAACATTAAATATATATGAGAACGTCTTGCTCGCATATTTCGATGAGGAAGCAAAGAAGTACAAATCCCTTGTGATTCACGTTGTGTTCAAATACATACATTTTTACTCATGTACGTTGTTTTCATTTCCGTAATGTACACAAGGGAGACAATATTAATTTAATGCCTAAGAATTAATTATTATCTCCCTAGGGAATGAATGCTTCACTGTAGTCCATCATTTGCTAACAAAAGCCACTATTTCTCTCAGCCGTGAAAAAATAAGTTTTCTCCCAAAGTTTAGAATTAATATGAAGATTAAATTATTTTAATATATTTACTAGAGGGGTCCTTATTTTTCGACTTCGAAGTTTTTAACGCTCATCCTCTAATTTTGTTCGAATGACCTTAAAACAGGGCCTTAAAAATGTTGACATCGGAGCAGTCTAACCTGTGCCGACTTGAGTATGTCAGACAAGTCCAGACTTGCCCCAAGCGCTAATAGTATGTGAATTTTAATCGATCGTGTCACGCATATTTACGGGTCGCTAATCAAACATAATGCCATATGAATTACATAGTGCCAGGGAACGTGTGTTTTTAATAGGAGGTATAAAACACCAAAAACTGGACAAAAGTTACCTAGTAATTAGTTAAGTTAACCTAGTTAAGCTAGTAATTTTACAACGTACGAGAGGTAAAATTAAGAGTTAGTGCAAGTGCTGATCTTTGATTCGTGAGAACATGATATTTTGGGAGAAAGCAATAATTCCGACAAGAGCTAATCAGCATTGTTCGCAAAAAAATTATTAACTTGTGTTCGGGATGGAAAATATTTCATTAAAAAAAACGCTATAAAGTGTGATTTTTAAATATCAAGAAGAGTTTAGAAAGAACTTAGACAATCTTTTTGAAATTGCACACGCGAATTCTTTACGAATGATTACGTCGGACGAGGACAGGATGGGTTTTTTCTTCGCCAGAGAGACCCAGGACGAAAAGTCTACCTTGCAGTAGTAGACCAAACACTTTCCGGTAAAAAAGGAAGGGCGAGGCAAAGAAAATACAAGAAGAGAAAAGAAAGAGAAACAACAGAATGCAGTATATACATCTCCTCCTTGATCGTCTGAAGATTCACACAACGAACCT